AAAGAAATAAAATAAAAGTTTATAACTTGAAGAAATCACCTAATACAAAAGGTGCCTATACTTTATTTATCAAAATGCAAAACAATGGCATATCTTAAAGTACAAATCTAAGGCAAGCAAATTAGAAAAATGGTTTAAGGAAATATTTTCTACGAAAGCAAAAGGTAATTATTTTACAAAGTACCAATACTAAAAATGGACATGCATATACTTGAACTGTTACATTCTGTGAGCTGCTTGGAGAAAATGCAATCAGGACACATAATCAACATCATTGAATATTAGGTAAATACAAAAGAAAATAGACATGTATATTATATACTTGTCATATAAGCACATTTATCTTTTGCTTCCCAGTAGTACTGGGGTTTGAACTTGGAGCTTCCCACTTACTAGGAAGATGCACTACCACTTGAGCCTCTGGAGCTCTGGTTATTTTTTGAAATAGGGTCTTACTTTTTTGCTTTTTCCAAACTGGACTGTGAGTCTTGTATTTATGATTCCTCCCATAATATGGATACCACTCCTATCTCTCTCTCTCTTTCTTTCTTTCTTTCCTTCTTTCTTTCTTCTTTCTTTCTTTCTTTCTGTTTTTCTTTCTTTTGTTGGTTGTGCAGCTTGAACTCTGGGCCTGGGTGCTATCCCTCAGCTCTTCAGCTCAAAAGGCAAGTGCTCTACCACTTGAACCACAGCTCCACTTCCAGTTTTCTGAGTGGTTTATTGGAGATAAGAGTCTCATGGACTTCCCTACCTGGCCTGGCTTTGAACCATGATCCTCAGATCTCGGCCTCCCCAGTAGCTAGGATTACAGGAGTGAGCCACCAGCGCCTGGCTATGCCTTTCTCTTTCTGGTGACTTTTTTACCTAGACTGTCCTGGAATGGTGAACCCCCTGATCTCAGCCTCCACATGGCTGAGATGACAGGACTAAACCAACGGCAAACAAAGAATTTTGCTTACTTTAACAACCTGCTTATGATAGTATTCTGCTCCAGGAGCTAAAGGAAATAAAATCTCATTGATCGGTGGAACATTACTCTGCTGAAAAGGCAATTTGATAACATGAACTGACAGCCAATCTTTAAGGAGCTGGTTAAGTTCCTTAAGGTGACCATATATATAGAAACATATTCAGTGTGATTTTTCCAAATATGTAATTATGTACCAGGACATTCTAGAAAGAAACTCACTGAAGCACTAAAAGAGATCATCTTTGTTCTATGTGAAAGGCATAAATTATGCAAGGTGGAAAAGAGGGTGGGATATGAAACAAGATTTTGACTCTGGACAAGTTTTTTTTTTTAATTTTTTTTTATTTTTTTATAATTTCTTTTTTATTGTGAAAATACTGTACAGAGGGATTACAATTACATGGGCAAGATAATGAGTACATTTCTTTTTTTTTTAATTTAATTTAATTTTATTTGTGAACATACTGTACAGAGGGGTTACAATTGCATGGGCAGGATAATGCGTACATTTCTTACCAAGCATTGCAGCCTCCTCATCCACCTGTATCCTTAAACAACTGGTTTTTCCCCATCTCCTCCACAAGTTATACTGACATCAAATATAGTGAAAGCAGGGGTTATACTGTGGGGGAGGGACATACAAAGCCACAAAGAGATAATCTTATAAATGCGTTAGAAACACATGCATGAAAGAAAAAACATTAAAATACATATCTAAGGGTTCATTTTCCTGACATCACATTATCTGACCTTTTCCGCTTGACTCATACATATACTAGATATTTATGTTCACTGTGGTTAGGTTTTCTCACCAGTAAGTTGGTGGGAGAAAAGTACCTATATCCAATGTTGTCATGAGGATTAAATTCCTAATAGGAAAAATAACTGACAGTAATGCCAAGAATATTAGCCATTTCCTTTTGTGGTTGTTGTTGTTTTTGATTGTGAGGCTTGAACTCTGGGCCTGGGCACTGTCTCTCAACTCTTCAGCTCAAGGTGAGCACTCTACCACTTGAGCCATAACACCACTTCTGGATTTTCTGAGTGGTTTATTGGAGATGAAAGTCCCAGGCTGGCTTTGAAACGTGATCCTTAGATCTCAGGCTCCTGGGTAGCTAGGATTACCGGCTTGAGTCACTGGCACCTGGCTTAGCCATTTCCTTTTTATTTAAGTGGTAGAACCAATAGGGGCAAACATTTTCCTCTTATTTCCCTGCATTTTTCCAAATCACCATTTCTTTCTTGAAAAAAGAAGCAGTAGAAACTCTTCAGTTTGATGCAGTCTTTCTTCAATTTGTTCTGATTATGGATCTTTATTTAGGAAGTTTTGACCTGTGCCAAGGAGCACTAGGTTTTCCCCTATCCCTCCCTGTAATAAGGTATCTGGTCGTACATTGAGGTCTTTGGTCCATTTGGAATTGATTCTGGAACAGGATGATAAAAAAGGATCTAGCTTCAGTTTTTGGCATGCGTATAACCAATTCTGCCAGCACCATTTGTTGAAGAGGATGTCTTTCTTCCATCCTGTGCTTTTGGCACTCTTGTCAAATATTTAGGTGGCTGTAGGTCTGTGGGTTCATTTCTGGGTTTTCTATGCTATTCCATTGGTCCTAAGGCCTATCCTTGTGCCAGTACCAAGCAGTTTTATTACTACAGCTTTGTAATAGGGTTTGAAGTTTGGTATTGACATTCCTTCAGCACTAGTCTTCCTGCTAAGGATTGTTTTTGCCATTTGGGGTCTTCAATTATTCCATATGAATTTTTGGATTGCTTCTTCTGTATCACTGAAGAATGTTGTTGGGATTGTGATGCGCACTGTATTGAAATTGTAGATCGCTTTGGGCAGCATTGCCAGTTTCACAATATTAAGCCTTCCAATCCAGGAGCATGGGAGGTTTTTTCCATTTCCTTACATCTGCTTTCATTTCCCTTTTTAGGTTTAGCTGTGTGTATATGATCATATAAAATGATGCTTATCAAAATGAACTCCAAGAAATAGAAATGAGTTATTGTTGTTTTTGTACTCTTTGAGGTTCTCTTCTTTTTCTTCTGTTTTTTTTTTCTTTTGTCGCGGTTTTTGATTTCTGTACCATTTGTTTTGTATGTAAGGCTGGGCACCAGTGGCTCACGCCTGTAATCCTAGCTACTTAGGAGGCTGAGATCTGAGGATCATGATTCAAAGCCTGCCTGGGCAGGAAAATCTGTGAGACTCTTACCTCCAATAAACCACTCAGAAAACCAGAAGTGGTATTGTGGCTCAAGTGGTAGAGTGCTAGCCTTGAGCTGAAGAGCTGAGGGATAGTGCCCAGGCCCAGAGTTCAAGTCCCACGACTGGGGAGGGGGGGGGGAATTTATCTGATTGGGGAGGGGAAGGGGAAGCACAGAAATAGTGAGACAAAGGGTGAACCAATTCAGCAGTGATATTCACTAGATACTATGTTGGAAATGAACTATCCAACTTGGGGGAGAGAGGGTAGGGAGGGGAAAAACTAGGAGAAAATGAGGGAGAGGATGACATACTGTTAAAAAAGAAATGTACTCATTATCTGACTTATGTAACTGTAACCCCTCTGTACATCACCTTTATAATTAAAAAAAGAGAGAAAAAAAAGAAAACAGTCAGTGTTTTCCTGAGGGCCCTGAGAACTTGGTCAGCTAGGTTTTTCTGGTCACGTACATTCATCCACTTACTAAGATATTGCTCATTGCTCTATACTTAGAAAATGAATATTTCACAGTTGCTGAAACTCAGAAATGAAACTGGAATTATAGTGATCATTGAAATGAACTTTGTGTCCCATTTCATAAGAGAAAAAAAAAGCCCATTTCATAAGAAGTTAGGAAAGTTCAGTTTTGGTAAAGGAACTATTTGTATGCTTCAGAAAAGTTTTGAGTCTCCATAGCTTTTTCTTTTCTCCCTTTCTCTGACTGTCTCTCCGTCTCTTTCTCTCTCTCTACCTCTGTCTCTGTTTCTCTCTCTCATTCTCTCTGTCTCTCTCTGTCACTCGCTCTCTCTCTCTAGTTTACATGAACTTTAAAAAAATTGAAATCACATATTTCAGTAGCAGGACAATTATTTTTAATATTTACAATATTGGAATACGTAAATTTTCTTGGGCAATAAAAGTAAATTAGGGAAAGGAGAGAGAAAAGGAAGTGTCCTCTTACTCAATTCTAAACATGTCAACAGGTGTCAGATATCATTTGATTTACCTATAAAGTTATCATGCTACAAATACATTTGAAATTTAGAAAGAAAATGGAAAAAAATAAGCAGGAAATTGCTTTTGCTTTTCCCCCAAGTTTTCAACTGGAAATTTGAGGATGGAGGTGGGGGGGGGGGAGTTTCTGCTCCTTTTAAGGTCTTCTCTTGCCAACAGCTAACAAGTTTGGACAATACGGTTGCCAAGGCAATGTCAAGACCATGTAGACAGAGGGAGAAAATGTGGTGTGCAGACAGAGAGATGGTGAAAACACATTAAAAATAAGCACGAAGAGGTTTTAATTGGGGAAAAAAATTAACTCATGCTCTCCATTATAAGTGGTTATGCTATCAGTTCCGGCATCTGCTGTTGTAGAGGACCACTATATCATAAGGTCACTCTTCTTATATCACCTTGTGCTGGGGGGAGTGGGTGTCTGTGTCTGTGTATGTGTGTGTGTATACATCATTTATTTTCTGATTGAGCCCAAGTCTTTGTTCTTCTGCACTAAGGCATGTCAAAATGGGTTCTTACTGCACTCAAGTGAAACAAAGAAATTTTTCATGTGCTCAGACCAGAAATGATTTTTCTCTGAGTTCTATTTGAAGCCTTGGATTCAGCCAAACCCTTCTAGATAATGAGTGTAAAGATACATGCACCCCTGTTCCCAAAGCTGTACAAATATTTACTTCTTTAAAAAATGTTACTCTTGTCAGACACGAGTCTTACCTGCTCATTTTTCTAGGTGTTGCTTTAGTTTGGGGGAGGGGGGGTGAAAACTAAAACACTCAATTTTCCTTCCTCTTTTTTTTCCTTTCCTCTTTTAGGGACAATCCTTGGATTTAGCCTCCGGCCCTACAAAATGAGTTACCGACAAGTCAAGTACTTCTCTTTTCCTGGGGAACTTTTGATGAGGATGTTACAGATGCTGGTCTTACCACTTATCATCTCCAGTCTTGTCACAGGTATCATTCACAGGGTTTTTTTTGTTTTGTTTTGTTTTGATGTTGTTGCTTGTTGTTGTTGTTGTGTAAAGTGTGCTTATTGCAAAAGATCACTTAGAAAAGCAAGTGCTTCAGGTTTCTGCTGGATGCATGCTCTGTTCTAGAAAATAAAAGTCCCTTCAGAATGACGGAAAGGAGGCTTTAGTAATGCATGAATGATTATAACTCTCATATTTTACCAATCACAAGAGGAAATGGATACTTAAACAGCCACGTAATCTGTTCTGCCTCACCATGAAAGAGGTGCCCTGCTAAACACCACACTACCAGCCTTCTCTGACCACAGTGATGTAGTTGACAACAGCGTACAACAGGTCTGTTTTCTCACCCTCTTATCCCACCCAGATAACATCTGGTTGGACAGCCTATTAGCTATTGATGCAAGAATGCTTGTTCTCAGAGCCACCAGGACTTGAGCGGGAGCCTTCTTGGAAGCCTCATCAAGAGGTAATGCCCACAACACGACCACCAACTCTGCTGCCACCAACACTTTATCTTTTCCTGGTATACCCGCATGATTTTGGTTCCTCCTCCAACTGCCCCTCCCCAACCCCATTACCTTTTAGGATGTTGGGAAAATGGGGGGGGGAGAGGGATGGCGGGAGATTTCCCCCATTGGTTATCTTGTCCATCGCCTCTGGGATTTTTAACCAGTGGAAGCTGTGCAGGATAGGATAAAGCAGTTTACTCCCCCAATGGAAAAAGTCAAATCATTCACACATGTGGATTAAAAATACTGATAAGGCCGAGCAATAGAAGAAATATGTTACTATCCATTCCTTCCTGCCCACTCTTCTCTTTCCCCACAGCACATCTCTGACTGGGAAAAGGAATTTTCCTAGACACTGTTCCACCAGGAGGATGGTGTCTGGGTTTGTAGTTAAAGCAAAGAACTCAGGTATTCCTGACCCTGTTCTTTTCCACCCCTGGTCTGACTGACCCCTCTCGTCTGACTGACCACCTCATCTCTAGGTGAGCTGAGTCTGAGCATCATTCTCTCTCTTCCAGGGAGTTCACAGAGAGATCTGTAATCCCTCTTCAAGCTCTCTGCATAGTGAGAACTTCACAATTCAACTCAAAGGTCATGGACAAACATTCTGCCTAGTACATACCTTGGTGCATTGGTCATTACTTGGACAGGAACTATGTCAGATTTTTCCTCAATGCTTTGCAAATCTCTTCCTGGCTTCCACTTGTCCAGGGCCTTAAGCAAGTCATTACATGTATACAAGCTCACATTGAAGGATGAATTGCCCATGAAACAATCCTGTAGACCTTTAGGGTACTTGTTTTCTACAACTGGAGTGGTCTATTGCCCAGGCGCAATTCTTTTTTTTTTTTTTTTCTGTATTTTTTTGTCAGTCATGGGGCTTGAACTCTGGGCCTGGGCAATGTCCCTCAGCTCTTCAGCTCAAGGCAAGTGCTCTACCACTTGAGCTACAGCGCCATTTCCAGTTTTCTAGCAGTTTTATTGGAGATAGGAGTCTCACGGTCTTTCCTGCCCAGGCTGGCTTTGAACCACAATCCTCAGATCTCAGCCTCCTGAGTAGCTAGAATTACAGGTGTGAGCCACCGGCGCCCGGCCCAGCCATAATACTTAATTCAGAACCTGTAGTAAATGTTGACAAGAGAGCATATTTTTGTAAAAGTATATTCTTTGCTGAAAACATATACAGGTCAAAACCCATATCTAAATTTTATTTAGAAGAACAATGCATCACTCTACATCATCCCTAATGGCAAGTAGTGTAAACTAAAAATGTGTTTGTTCTTCAGGACCCTCACTGAGGGCTCCCAAATTCCTGCACAGTGTCTCTTCTGGTGTGGGACCTGTATGAGAGAGTTTCTGCTTTCTTGTGCTGAAAAGCCTTTACAGGACACAGTTAAATATGGAATTACTTCCTCATAGAATAATCTCAATTACATATACCCTGAAGTGGAATTCCCTGGTGCTTTAAATACTTAATAATCAACTTTATTGAAGGAACAAGAGCTTTGGTTGAGTAATTTTGCAGGGAAACAAAATACTCTGATGCAATTTCTTGCTATGCTTAAAAAAAAACTTTTGGTCAAATGATGGAGAATTTGTCAACATTCATATTGTTTTTAAAGATAAGTTTCCAGAAACCAATATAAAATGAACTTTTATAATACAATCTACTTGCAAAATGGGAATCTTTACCAAATTGGACCAGTAGGAGTCTTAGCTCTTACCCAGGATTGTTTTAAGACAGGAGCCAGAGGGATATAATTTAGCTTTGCCAAAGATCTTTTAAGGTCTGAGAGGAGTAATTTCTAAACTACATGGTAATTTAGATACTCATGGTAAATTAGAATGAGTGACTCAGTGAGAATGTCCTTCAAGGTTTTGAGTGAAAAGGTTATAAACCAAAGGTGGTGGGTATGACCCAGTAGGCATAGAGAGAGGAGAACTTTTCCAAATTACAAAGACCCCTGAAGGGTCTCCTATGTGTAGGAAGATGTTAACTGTGTTGCCTGAGGGGGGAGGGAGGCACAAAGTAAGGTTTTATTATTCTAGAAAGGAAATGTGATCACAAATGTTCCCAGTTGTCCATTGGGCAACCTATATGTATAACGGATATATATATATATATAGGTGTGTATGTGTGTGTGTGTGTGTGTGTATAGATAATCTATCTATCTATCTCTCTCTATATATATAGGTAGATCTATCTATCTATCTAACTATCTATCTATCTATCTATCAAGCTGCTCTTCTAGGCTACTTTTTGTTTTCCTACTTTGATCAAGTCATGGATGCAGAGAAATAGTTCTCTTCAATAAAAGAAGGAATGGGGGCAAGTGTGATGATAAGTGGGGAGTGGTCACCTGCAGAAAAAAGGGGAACAAGAAGACTTGGCAGCCGAAAAATATGGCTAACCAGTTCCATCCAGCTGTTGTTATGTGTCATCAAAGGCCATATTTTCCCTTTCTTCAAGAGAAACTCATTATCCAAACCAAGATCCTCCAGACTTCTCAGTGTTGTTACAATTCACATAGTACTGCATGCCAAGCAAAGTCTAGCCCAGTTTGACCCAGAGACTATCACTATCTGAAATCACATTTGGATGTCTGTGCTACCAGTATTGAGAATGTACCGATTTTGAGCATTTATGCACTCACCAGGTTATCCACTGCTTTTCAACTCAACCTTTGACATCCCTGTACCAAAGCTTATTTCATCTCACAGAATTAACTATAGAACATCATGTTTATTGCTGGTTAAAGGAATGGCTATTGGGAAGGCTCTCCTTTCCCTCTTCTGGATATGGCCATCTTGTGTGTTAGCTGTTCTGGTCTTTGCTGCAGTAGGCAAAGACATCATAGTAAGATAGAGGTCATGGTGCCATAGAAAGTATTTCTCATTCAGAAAATGCTCCACAGGGCAACTTCACACACACACACACACACACACACACACACACACGTATATCTGTTACACATATATGTTGCCTGATGGACAACTGGGAACATTTGTGATCACCTTTCCTTTCTAGAAAATAAAGCCTTACTTTGTGCCCCACCCGCAGCACAGCTAACATCTTCCTACACATAGGAGGACCCTTTAGGGGTCTTAGTAATTTGGAAAGTTCTCCTCTCTCTATTGTGACTGGGTCATATCCACCACCTTTGGTTTATAACCTTTTCACTCAAAACCATGAAGGACATTCTCACTGAGTCACTCATTTCTAATTTGCCATGAGGATCTAAATTACTATGTAGTTTAGAAATTACTCCTCTCACAATGCTGTCAGACACTTTGTACTCATATACTGTTTTGTAGAGTGGAAACTTCTTTGCACAACTACTTAAAGATAATGATAATAATAAAAAGAAAGAAAATGAACTTTACAACTTCAGGGGCTGGTGGAGAGGGAAGAGTTGGGGAGGTGGGGGGGGAGGAGATGGTAGGGGAAAAACAAAGCAGGGGGTAACAATGCTCAATAGGAAATGTACTCATTACCTTACCCATGTAACTCTAACCCCTCTGCACAGTATCTTTACAATAACAAAATATATATTTTAAAAAATCCTCAATGGAGAGTGAAAGGCACACATGCTGAGTACATTCAAGCATTCAAACAGAAAATCAACTCACTCTCTGTGGGTCCCATTATTTTGTGTAAAAGAACCAACCAAATTGTTTCTGGGAAAATAAGTATATCCAGCTTTGAAAATATCAACAACAACAACAACAAAGAAATTACTCCCCCTCAGACTAACCCCTTAAAAGATCTTTGGCAAAGCTAAATTATATCCCTCTGGCTCCTGTCTTAACACAATCCTGGATAAGAGCTAAGACTCCTACGAGTCCAATGTGCCACAGGGTATATGCTGACAGAAATGAAATTGGTTGAAATCATTACTTCATTTCTTAGATTAAATTTTTTTGATAGAAGTAAGAAACATGCTATGCATTTAATCACACTGAATTCACATTGTGTTATATCCTGTGTTCCACAGTGCAGTGCTTGGAATCAAACCTATGATCACGGTCTGTGCATTTAAGAAAAGCATTGTACCACTAAGCTACTCTCTCAGCTCTCAAAGCCACATTTAAACTGAGAAATCTAAGTTAGACTTTGTACTTGAGCTGTGTTTCTGAGTTGTGCCTGGGCTCCTGTAAGACACATTCTCTCTGTCCTAAATTGAAATTCCAATCTTACCAAACATCACTGGTGTCTATTAGCATTCTAGAAGCTTCCAAGGAGATCCTGGGAGAAAGCCTAATGGCTCCATTTGTACTCAAGTACCTATTTTTTTTAAAAACAAGAATAACTTATCTGTGCCAATACACTACATAATAAAACAGAAGTTTGGCACCAATTTTTATTGATTTAGTCAGGATAGGCAGCTCAACTAGATACTTCATGCCAGAAATATGAGTTTGTTTGAATGGCTTAGACTAGTTTAAATTAGACACCATATCTGGTTGTTCT